TGATTTCTGAAGATCATGTGACACTGAAGACTGGAGTAATGATGCTGAAAATACAGCTGCGCATCACAGAAATACATTACAGTTTAACAGAGATTCACATAGAAAACAGCTGTTTTAAACTGTAACAATATTTCACTGTTTTACTGTATTTTTGATCAAATAAATGCAGCCTTGGTGAGCAGAAGAGACTTCTTTCAGAAACATTAAATAGTCTTACGGACCCCAACCTTTTGAACATCACTGTTAATCGTTATATAATGCTGTAATGTCCACTAATGCAGTTAATGACAGATATTGTATACTGTATATTGAGTCTGCATGTACAGGTTTATGATTTTAGGTAACGTACTGAACGTCCTGGAAATCCAAACTCGCCCTTTGGTCCAGTGGGTCCGATGGGGCCCTGCATGTGATGACATAAGACAGAAATCACAGGAATGCAGACTAACACAAACAGGTGCAGAGCTGAGTGTCGTCTGCTCTCGCCTCAGCACTTCTTCCAAAACCTTTTGAACAGAGGCAGCTGTACGCAAACAGCAAAGCCCCCGGAACGGGAAAAACACATATGAATTGTAAAAGAGTAAAGGAGTCCGACTGTTGTAAGAATTGCAGAAAAGTATCGAAAAGGCTGATTTGCATTGTGTTGTGTAGCTCCGCCCACAGGGAACTCTCATTGGTCCATTTCACATAGTTGTATATTAAATGTCAAGTGTGCACTGATTGGCTGTGATTTTGTCATTTCTTGTGGTATTTTTGTTTTAAATGTGGACAGAAAAAATGACGATGCTGGAAACTGTGAGAAATTCAAGTGTTAGAAAACGAATTTCTACAGGAAAATTGAGGAACGCCAGAAAAATAGTCGGAGAATGATGTAAATAACTATATTTTTCTGATCATTGATGGGATTAATTAAACACACTCCCTCTAAACTTTCATTTGGAACATTCATAATGAATAATAAGAGTCAAAGTTGAATAAATGAGTCACAACATCTTCCTCTCACCGTTTGACCCAGAGCTCCAGGAACGCCGCAGTCTCCCTGTGAGAATCAAAGAAAATAATCAAATAGATGCTTTACTAATCACGTCCGTCTATCTGAACTGTCTCAGAGAGGTTTGGTCTTGAGTAATGCAGCGGTTAGAGGACTGTGACGGCTAAAGAAGACATCGCTGACCTTCAGTCCTTTCGCTCCCTGCGGCGCATGAACTCTAGACACAATCCCCGGCTCTCCTTTCTGACCCTACAGCAGCAATTCATGCGAAACACACATAACAGAATTAAAAACACACTGACATCCATATTCAGCAATGACAAGCACTTCTGATGACAATCTATGAAATCCGAATATGATATACAGGCAAACCTCTGCAGCTATTTGAATCACACACACACACACACACACACACTCACTGTACACACAGAGTGTGTGTGTGTGTGTGTGTGTGTGCACGTGTGTGTTTAGTCTGGGAGTCATTATGTTTCTCTGCTGTGTGTTTACAGTATGTTCCCCAGGCGTTCAGAATGAATCTCGTCTGGTGTTTTGTTTCACACAATGCGAGATGATTCCAGTCCTCCATCATCAGTCAGATATTATGAGAGAATGCAGAGATTAGGATTATGACACATCAACAGATCAATATCCATTAGGACAATCCAATCTGGTTCTATTATTTAGGGTATTTTTTTCATTCTACTCGCTACCATCATAAAGTTTGGTGTCAGAAAGATAAGTAATAAATACTTTTATTCATCAAGGATGCATTAAACGGATCACAGCTGTTTTAATATGTAATAATATTTCACAATACTAATAAAAAACTAATAGAGTTCAAATCTCAGTTACTGAAATGAGACAAAACACAAAATAATGTTAAATAATGATAACAAGTGTTTTTCTTGATTAAAGAGTCAGTTAATTCAATATAGGTACTTGTCATTATTTATTTATTTAGGTAGATTTTTTTATTTATTTATTTTTTTTATCATTTTAAATCACTAGGAACTCTTCGTGGCCCACGAGTGATCATACTTTGAGACTGACTGAATTAAATGAATCAGATACTGAACCTTTGAATGGAAGCAGTTCTGCTGTCAGTGGTCTGAGTTGTATGTGCTGTATGTGTGGTCTGATATTGAGTGTTTCGAGAGGTTTGCATGTGCTGAACCTCAACGATTAGATTCTTGATTACATGCCAACAGACAGCACCAGCATGCTCCGCTTTCTCTCCTCTCAAATCACACACACACATACTCATACACACCTGCTGTACTGACGCATCTGCAACTAACTTACCATTAATCCTGGAGGCCCCTGAACCCCCGGGGCCCCGGTATCACCCTTCAGACCCCTTGGTCCCTGGTGGAATAAAACAAAATAATTTTGTCACCACTGCTGTAAGATAATTAACCTATAAAGTAGATTTAAACACTTTCTGAAGTGCAAAAACCACACAAATATTCATGCTTCTCAAACCAAGGCTTTCAACTATAATTACTTACATTAACTTCAAAAAATACTTAATTTCTATTGCTGAAACACTTACTGAATTCCAGTAATTGTTCTAGTTAAATGTTCCACTGAGACGTCACAATATAGAGTGTGTTTTTGTGAAGGGTTATTAACTCTGTTTATTTCACTTCACTTCTGCTCGTCAGTGCCTGTAAATTACGCAATAATGCAAAGCTAATGTGTCGTAATTGTTTAAAACACAATTTCACAGGCAACTCAATGACTTATTGTAAATAATGGAATTAAACCGCAGTGTGTTTACATTCTTGTGCGTTCCGTGAAGCGAGCGTGTGGTTTTGAGCAGCTATTGTAGCGTAATCTCTATGCCCGTCTATCTTCAGCGTTTCTGTTTTCGCAATAGAATGAGAGCAGTTTGGGAATTAAAAGCAGTGATAAATATAATGAAAAATAATAGTTGGAATACTATGGTCAAAAGTACAAGTATAAGATGACAGCCATATTTCAAGACAATTCATATTTCATGAGCTTCTGCTGAACTTATATTCCACCACACAAATGACTATATTTTTTGTTAAATGTGAGTTTTAAATTTCATTGCATTTCCATCTGGAGTTCATTCATTGACTTTAAAAGTTAATCTTCATAATAATTTACTTCATAATAACTTTATGATAGTATTAATAATGAATCAAGATGACATCCAGAATGGCTGAAGAATTTCAGACAACATTTCTAACTGGCCTTCACTGCAGGGAGCCAGCAATAGGTTCAATACTCATATTAAGTGTGGTGCAAAAAATGACACTGTATCTGTCCAGTCAGCAGGCTTAATTTACCCTAAATACAAGTTTATAATTTGCTGGTGCGCTTCCTGACTCGCTGTTGTGTTTTCCGATTCAATGTTGTTTTGTTCTGATTCATTGCTCTGTTTCCTGATTCGCTGTTGTATTTTTTTTTTCTGATTCACCGTTATATTTTCTGATTCATTGTTATATTTTCTGATTCATTGTTATGTTTCCTGATTCATTGTTATGTTTTCTGATTCACTGTTGTGTTTTCCGATTCACCGTTGTTTTCTGATTCACCGTTATATTTTCTGATTCATTGTTATGTTTTCTGATTCATTGTTATGTTTTCTGATTCACTGTTGTGTTTTCTGATTCACCGTTATGTTTTCTGATTCACCGTTATATTTTCTGATTCATTGTTATGTTTTCTGATTCACTGTTGTGTTTTCCGATTCACCGTTATATTTTCTGATTCACCGTTATATTTTCTGATTCATTGTTATGTTTTCGGATTCACTGTTGTGTTTTTCCGATTCACCGTTATATTTTCTGATTCATTGTTATGTTTTCTGATTCATTGTTATGTTTTCTGATTCACTGTTGTGTTTTCCGATTCACCGTTATATTTTCTGATTCATTGTTATGTTTCCTGATTCATTGTTATGTTTTCTGATTCACTGTTGTGTTTTCCGATTCACCGTTATATTTTCTGATTCATTGTTATGTTTCCTGATTCATTGTTATGTTTTCTGATTCACTGTTGTGTTTTCCGATTCACCGTTATATTTTCTGATTCATTGTTATGTTTCCTGATTCATTGTTATGTTTTCTGATTCACTGTTGTGTTTTCCGATTCACCGTTATATTTTCTGATTCATTGTTATGTTTCCTGATTCATTGTTATGTTTTCTGATTCATTGTTATGGAATGTCTGTGTTGCACAAACAAGTATAACACGTTTTATAATATTTACATAGCATATAATAAATCATATATAAAATAGTTATCCTGTGCAGAATTTCTATGAATTTGTGAAGCTATATTAATCATGTTTACGGCAGATAGTACGTTTGCCACTAAACATGGGAACAATTTACTTGTGTTATATTAAGCGGGATCCGATTTAGCTGATAACTTCCTGAATCCAACTTCTGTAACTGTGTGTGTTATGTAATATAAAGCCATTACAATGCATTTTTACTTTGAATTACACTATGAAGGAGTTCAAAGCCTGAGGCGCATTCACTGACCCTAACAGATGTGCTGAAGATAGGAACTTTGTGGCTAATGGGGAACACGTGGATGGGAATGGCATGCTTCCTTTGGAAAGCGGGAATGGAAACAGTTGTGGAAGTGTGTTTGTGTATGTGATTGTGTGTGAGGAGCACAGACCTTCACTGAAACACCCAGAGGGCCGACGGCTCCTTCTTTCCCCTGAAAGTGTAGAGTTGGGTTCATTTAAATTAAATCTAAAGCATCTCTAACACTAATAAATGTTTAGACGGATATGCATCGTCTAAATATTGTTTCCCAGGTAATGCCAGGTAAAAATCGCATAACAGATGCCATATCATGGTTTTTACAGTATTGATAGATCACGCCAGATTTCTCTGTGTTTTGTGCAGATCTCTATAGTGCATGTACCTGTGGCCCTGGAGGTCCTGGGAGCCCAGGAAGACCCTGAGGATGAGAATATGCACGAGAATGAGCTGCAGTTCAGCTGTAAGAGCCAGAAAAGCCTCAGTAAATGTGAATGTACGTACAGGTGGTCCTCTGGGCAGAACAGGTCTGAAACCACTGCTTCCATCCAGACCCGACCCCTCCAAATCCTGCCACAAAACAGACAAACAAACAAACAAAAAACAATACCGTTTATTCAAAGGCTAAAACCACAGGCGGCTCTAAATTCACCTAATTTCACTCATTCAAACGCAAGCGTCAAATTCACTTTCAAGAGCTTTCAGTTCATGTGAACATGTGAACAAATACAAATCTGTACTCCTTTAATAAAATACCCAACACTCACATGTAAATAAATGGTTAAAAACAAACAAATAAATATAAAGGAAAGGACAGATAAACAAACAAACAAACAAAAAAAACCTGCTAAATCTATAGACTCTGAAGGTCTGTGAACCACACCATCATGTCAAAGCTGAAGCCTTTTCCCGGAGGCCCCGGAGGGCCCGGCTGACCCCTGGGGCCCTCAGATCCCGTCAGTCCTGGGAGCCC